TCTATTTTGGATGTAACAGATTGTCAGTTCATCAGTTGCCATCGAATCGATTATGGCTCCCATTCTCGTGGAGTCAATTACGGTACCATTCTAATCTGCGAGTGTAAAAGCACCGACTTGTTCATTTACTGGACCCCGAAGTCGTTGTCTGAGCCCAACCCGATTTGATATTTTTCTAGCGTGCGCTTCCGAAGAGATATTGATTAACAGTCAAGTTTTGGCTTTTAGGCTAGCATATGATATCCTCGTAGGTATTTCGTTCAAAACAAGTAGCGGACCTGCCAAAACAGGCTTTTCGAATGGTCCCAAAGACGTATGTGTGAGTGGCACCATCCTCTGCAAACTGCGAATGTCCTCTCACTGCCACCATCCCCATAAACCCAATGCTAATCAGATGCAGTTCTACTGCCGTTTTCGCTGGCGTGTGCTCGCTTTTTTTGGCCAGAGTTCTACACCCGTTAAGCCCGCCTACGTGTAGCCGTCGTGCTGGGGGGTGCGCTCGAGGCTTTCTGTGTTGCCCATTTGCGGACTGGTAAATTGGAGGACGATGCCTGCCATAAGCGAAGCTGACTAATTGAGTGCGTCGATGGTCTATCTCGTTCGTCCATGCCTACATTCCAATTCTAATGATTCTAACCAACGAGCTGAAAATTCACATGCGACTTTCGTCGGCGTTCAGTTTTCCCTCTCTTACCACTCACAAAACTTACTGCTTACTCAAACTCACTTACTTCACCTCTTGAAATTGATTCCTTGTAGAAGCATCTCCCGCTCTGACAGGCTCCTACGCTTTTCTCTATTACTTACACTTACATCTTCCAAGTTATCTCTGACAACGTACTTTGGAAATTTTCTGAGATCACTGAGTATTCTAAACCGCATTCAACAAAAAATATTTGTGTTATATTTATTCTAACTGTAATTAATTATTTTCGCTATCGTTTCTATAAACCCGAGATAACGCAGTTGATATCACCGCAATCATCGGGTCGCAATCAGCCGTCCTCACCTGCGGCCCTTCCACCACTGGTTGTTTTCTTCTCAAATCGATCTCAACCCGATCACTATTGGTAGAGCAGGGCAGCCGTAGGCGGGGTCATCCCACCCTCCTAACGCCGTCCCCGACGGACTGCGATGTTACAAACTACACATTGTTCTGCCCGGATAGTTCTCATTGGGTGCAGTTCAGGGCACGTCGTACCTGGGGATCCCCCGATGGGCTCGTATTTGGTCGCTGGAGGGAGGGGGTCGTATCTACGTTCCAGTGGGAGTTTGCGAATGTGTTGTCGACGTTTCTCGGTTCACGTGCGCTCTGTGACCTCCACCCATCGCTCGAATGCAGTTTTTGGAAAAAATAACTGAAAACTGAAACGAAGTTTCTCGGAAACAGAAAAAACAGTGGTAGGAAGTTGAGGTGAGTGCAAGAGCAGAAATTTTGAAGGGAGTCGTATTTTCCCAAATTTTTCCCCCGACGTCTAGACATGCCCTTGTGCTGTTGTCACTCGTAAATTGACTATCCTGCAAACGCTGCGCGTTCCTCACGTCTGCGTCTCTCTGACTTGCACTGTTTTCGCCTACTCTCTGCTTCTCTAGTGTTTCGTAGCTTTCCCTATTCGCATCGACGTAGATCACAGAATGCTTTTAGGTTTTCAGTAGTTCGAGAAATTTTCAT